TTCTACTTGGCTTCCAAACCACCCCACACGTTCTCAAACACTCGCAAAGCGGCCCACTGTCAAGGGCTCCTTTCTATCTCACTGTAATCCCCAGTAGCACGGTATAAGATACAAACACCACCCAAAAAACCCCGCCGAAATGAAGGAATGCAAACTCATTGCTCTGCATTTAATTCTCATCTCTTTCAGAAGCATCTTCTTAAAGGAGCTTGGTTTGCTTTGAGGTACTTCATCTTCCTTCTGAGAAACAGCTTTTCTGAACCAGTATGATTATCCGTTTTTAATTATTATATTTAAATGACCTACTTAAAAAGGGCTGGTGAAATACACCTTGTTCCAGATCTATTATGAAGGGAAAGAGACAGTATCTTTTCTACCGATGGATCTCCTAAGCGAAAAGCCCGAAACTTAAGTATTTTAGTAAACTCTGATAGAGAGCAGAAAGTGTACTAACTTCTAATCCATTATGTCACAGTTACCTCTTTTCTAAAATAAACAATTTTTTAATCTACAAAAAACAGGCATAACAAATCCCTTATACAGTTTATAGGCTGATTATTATTAGATGTCATAGGGAATACATATACATTCATGATCCAAAACTTCAAAAGCAGAAAAACTTTCTCCGGCAAAGCAGAAAAATGAATGCATTTCAAATACACTTTCAGTATACTTCCAGCTCTGTATCACAGTTTATTAAAATGCTTAAGTTTGCAGCTTTTCACTTAAGAGATCCACTGTGGGGCCAGGCATGGTGGCTCATGCCTGTAATCCCAGCACTATGGGAGGCCGAGGTGGGCAAATCACATGAGGTCAAGAGTTCAAGACCACCCTAGCCAACATGGAAAAACCCCGTCTCCACTAAAAGTACAAAAATTAGTTGGGCATGGTGGTGTGCCCCTGTAATCCCGGCGACTCAGGAGGCTGAGGCAGGACAATCGATTGAGCCTGGGAGGGGAGGTTGCAGTGAGCTGAGATCGCACCACTGCACTCCAGCCTGGGTGACAGGGTGAGACTCCATCTCAAAAAACAAAGATCCGCTGTGGAAGAGGAAACCTTTTTCCTTTTTGTTCCTTCTCCTCAGAACAGACCTGGAACAAAAATCGTCACCAGGATACCTCAGTCTGTCCACCAAGTCCATTGGTGCGATTTTAAGAGTCACATGACTCTGGGATGTTTGAATAAAAGAGGCCTTGACTTGGGACCCACAGGGCAGATGAAATGCTCAACAGTCATTCCAGCTCTTGCTGCTGAACGACAGAACATCGCTGTGAACACGGGCCGCATCCTGTCAGCAAGCCACAACAGAAATTGTTCAGGAAAATAATAAACTCAATCCATCACGTTTTCCTTCTGTTTTCTAAAATTCTCCCAGCAAGTCAGGTCGCATCTACAATTCTACCTCCTCTGTGAGGGAGCCTTTCTTTGCACAGGGTTCCAGCTCCCCACTGTCCAAAGGTGTCTCCGGGCCACAGTCCTCTCTTCAACCCTGGGGCAGGCAGGCTTCCCCTTTCACCCCACAGATGGAGGGAAGATGCACAGACAGGCAGATCACGAGGTCAAGAGATCGAGACCAGCCTGGCCAACATGGTGAAACCCCATCTCTACTACAACTACAAAAATTAGCCAGGTGTGGTAGCGCACACCTGTGGTCCCAGCTACTCCGGAAGCTGAGGCAGAAGAATCACTTGAACCCTGGAGGTGGAGGTTGCAGTGAGATGAGATCATGCCACTGCACTCCCGCCTGGGGACAGAGCAAGACTCCGTCTCAATAAATATATAAATAAAGAAAACTATCATTATCATTAATTTTATGTGTTTCTTTTTACCTCTCTTGATGTGATCACTAGAAAGGGTAAAGTGACATAGCGTGCATGGTTCTTCTCTTGGGCAGAACTGCCCTAGAATGCTGGATTAGCAAACTCTAGGCCCTCGGGCCAAATTCTTCCCACCGCCTGTTTTCGTACAGTTAGTGAGCTAAGGCTGGTTTTTACATATATGTATATGTATATATGTGCATGTGTGTACACACACACACACACACACACACGCACACGTGTTTTGAGATGGAGTCTCACTCTGTCACCCAGGCTGGAGTGCAGTGGCGCTATCTCGGTTTGCTGAAAACTCCACCTCCCGAGTTCAAGCGATTCTTCCACCTCAGCCTCCTGAGCAGCTGGGACTACAGGCACCCTCCACCACGTTAGGCTAATTTTGCATTTTTATTAGAGACAGGATTTCACCACATTGGCCAGGCTGGTCTCGAACTCCTGATTTCAAGTGATCCACCCGCCTCAACCTCCCAAAGTGCTGGGATTACAGTCAGGAGCCACTGCACCTGGCTGGTTTTTACATTTTTAAATGGCTGGGGTTAAAAACAAAATCAAAAAAAGAAGAGTATTTTGTGACATGTGAAATGGCATGGAACTCGAACGTCAAGTGTCCATAAATAAAGTCCATCTATTTGCTGCCATGACGCCTTGGGCAGCTCGCAAGCTGTGAGGCAGGTCCTATCAAATACTATCTGGTCCTTTAGAGAAAAAGTTTACAGACCCCTGCCCTGGAGTTTTGAAAATACAGACCCAGGTTTCTGAGCTGAGTAGGGTGTGGCTCCAGCCCCTCTGGGTTTTGTGGGAACTGCAGGTGAGCCGACCTAGGGTCCAAGCTCACTGGGTCTGGTCAGATGCAGGGCGGGACCAAGTCCCACCAGCTCAATGGAATGGCTACAGCTGCCCCAGGAACTGTTTGGCATCAAATTCTCTTTAGATCAGTCTCTTAAGGTTCTCATTTGTGATGGACTATTCAAAGCTTTTGCTTATTTTCAGAACACAAGGAGTCCACAGGTAGAATGGGGACCCTAAAGGGGCAGGCAGCCTGTCCCAAGCCCCTCCTCGATAATGCTTCAGAAACCCTAGCCATCTAGAAAGAGGAAGGGTGGAGGGACACTGGTCTCCCAAGGTGCCATCTCTAAAGCTACGCAATCCCAAATGGCTCGGACTAAAACGAAATGAACCGCACACACATGGTAACAAGCATGACAAGTGTGGGACACTCGGGGGCATGGCCCAAAAGGTGGGCTGCTGAATAACCTGGCTGTGGGACCCTGAGAAAGTTACTGACCTGTGCAGCCTCGGGAGTTACTACCTGGAGATCCTAAGACCTCTGCATATTAAATGATACATGCTAAGAACTCAGAATCATGCTCCATTCATAGCAGGCACTTAGTTAATCTCTGTTGAAAGGAAATGAGCATTGGTGGGCTTTTTTTGTGAGGCAGAGTCTTATTCTGTCACCAGGTTGATGTGTAGTGGCACGATCACGGCTCACTGCAACCTCAGCCTCCTGGGTTCAAGCAATTCTCCCGCCTCACCCTCCCAAGTAGCTGGAACTACAGGCACGTGCCACCACACCCAGCAAAGTTTTCTATTTTTAGTCGAGACAGGGTTTCACCATGTTGGCCAGGATGGTCTCAATCCCTTGACCTCGTGATCTACCCACCTCAGCCCCCCAAAGTGCTGGGATTACAGGTGTGAGCCACAGCACTGGCCTGGTGGGCTATTTGGGGGACTAGTTATTGAGGCATTTGCCCAATTTGACTCATGTTCATAAGGCATTAGCAATGAAAATAAAATTTCTATTAATATAATGGTAAACAGTAATGTTATCACTTGCATCAAACTGTCATAATGATTCAAAAAGTAGCTCTCAGTATCTTCTATTTCGTCCTTATGCCCTTGGCTTTTTGTATCAAAGAACTACCTTCCAAAAGCTCAAATAGCATTTGCCTTGAGAGTGTTCCTGAAGGCACCGTCCACGTAAAAATACACAGCCTGCATGAGAACAGCCAATATTGCAGTGAGCGTTAAGAAGTTTACCTCGGCGCTAATGCCAGAAGAGGCCTTCCTTCCTGGGAGAACCTGACAGTCACTGCAACACATAAACTGCCATGTTTTGCTTTTTGTTTTGGTCACCGGAAGCTCATATTCTAAGTTTGGGTTCACAAATACCAACGGAGGGAATCCTAAAATTACACGTGACCCAGCTTTTCCATATCGCGACCTCCTATTCCAGTGCCCGCTCGTTATTTTTGCTTGTAGTTTACCATAGATGGTGCCCAACTTAGGCAAGCTTGACTTACACTTTTTCAGCTTTACCAGGCGAGGAAGCCATTGGCATTGGGTGAAAAGCAGCGAGCTGCTCCCTCCTCAGCCCTGGCAGTGGCAGCCCAGCAGCCTCCAGTGTGAACGCGGCTTGTCACGGTGGCCTGGGCTGCCAGATTCTCCTTCCCAACTCTCGGCTAACATTTACGCATTCCAAGCACGTGTAAGGTAGGTGAGGCTGTGCTACCATGTTCAGTAGCCTGAGGTGCATTAAATGCATTTCCCACTTACGGTATTTTCAGCTTAGGATGGGATTCTGGGAGGCAGCCCCACAGGAAGTTAGGGAGCGTCTGTCTGGATCTAACATGTGCCCTTACGTGCATACTTCATTCCCTTCATGGAATGAAACACATAGGAACAAGCAAACTAAGAAGCAGATTTCAATGACCAGACACTCAAACCAGCCTGTAAAAGTCCTCACACCGCAACTGACAGGATGAAGTCCAAAAATTATCATACTGATAAAATGAGTCTTTGCATTTCTTCATTTACACTGCTCATATTTTCAGAAACGTCTAGAAAGGCAGCAAAATCACCCAGGATACAGGTTCAAGGCAACGGTGAAAAGTACTCAGAACTATCCTCTTAAGGAAAAATAAATTCTACATTTAAAAACGTTTTTCCTCCTTAGAAAAAAATTGTAGAGTGTTGGCTCTGTATGCTCATGTTGAGAATGCAAAGGCCGTGTTTAAGTGACTCTAACGCAACAAAGAAGAACTACCTGCTCCCAGGCCCAGCTGCCCGCTTTGCTGGAGAAGGCAGGCGGGGCGGAGACTCCTCCAGGAGGTGTTGAATAATCTACAAAAGTCCCCACAGCAACCCAGGGCAGACACAGTTCAACCGGCCGACCTCACGGTCGGAAAGGAAGGAGGAGAAGGCACATCTCCCTGGTTCAGCTCTCTGGGGTCCCCGACACCATCTCTCAGCGGCCATCTCGTCCATTTGCACCAAAGCTGAGCTCAGAGGAGGACACCTGCCATGATCCACTCCTGTGTCTGCCACCTCCCTGCCCACTCCTGCAGGAAGCTCCCTCTCGGCCTCTGTCCATCATCGGCGTCTGTCCAGCGCGGGTTGTCTGCCGCACCGCACTGCAAAGCCACAAGTGCCAAATGCCCCTGTGAGCCGCCCACCTGTACCTCATCTTCCTGGCCTGAGCAGGTGAGTCTCAGAGCCCAGCAGTCTATCCAGACCGACCTGGTCTTCTCTGACCCTCTTCCCTGTGATTTTTGGTGACGTTTTTCTTTTAGGATTTTCTGTATCCCACGTTGGTCACTTACATTCTGTATTTACGCTCTTATAAAAAATATGTTGGCCAGGCGCGGTGGCACACGTCTGTAATCCCAGCACTTTGGGAGGCCAAGGCGGGAGGATCACGAGGTCAAGAGATCGAAACCATCCTGGCCAACATGGTGAAACCCCAACTCTACTAAAAAATACAAAAACTAGCTGGGTGTGGTGGTACGTGCCTGTAGTCCCAGCTACTCAGGAGGCTGAGGCAGGAGAATTGCTTGAACCCAGGAGGCGGAGGTTGCAGTGAGCTGAGATCATGCCACTGCACTCCAGCCTGGTGCCTGGTGACAGAGCAAGACTCCATCTCAAAAAAAAAAAAAAAAAAAAAAAAAAATGTTACTCTTGGTGATTATCATTGGGTTTCACAAGAAAACCTGTATCCTGGCACCCACTGTGGGGCTGGGACTCTGTGCAGACGGCTGCCTGGACTTTGGTGACCAGACTCTCGACGCTCCTCCTTGAGTGCTGCCATGTGACAGCAGCCTCAGACTGTAGCAACCAGTCTGGTGCCCAACTTGCGCGATATCCCCGTGGAAAGATGTAAACATTTACTCAACATGCTTCTTCTCTGTGGAGCAAGATCTAGGCATCCAAGCGAAGCTGAAGGGGGCTCTCCCCACAATGCTCTCAACACCTGGGTATTTGCCAAGTCCACACTTGGCAGTGCCAGCTCAGCATGACAACGCACCTACCGAGTTCCTCTTCGGAGTGGACTTTCACCCCCGCCCCCGGTTCTGTGCATTCAGCAGTGTCCGGAGGTAAGCTAGGAATCAGGACACCTGGGTTTGAGTTCTGTACCATTCCTGTGGCCTTGGCTCAGTCACTAAACCTGCTTTGCAGTCGCTGCAGAATGGCAGGATTCGTTCAAAATCCATCTCTAAGTTTCCTGCAGTTATAACACATGCATGATTCTCAATATTAACCTTCTAAAACAAGTCCAAATACAAATAAGGCAAATTTGCAAAGAAATGTAAACAATCATGAAAGCAAATGTTTTCTTTCCTTCACGGTCATTACACTGAGTCGGTGCAACACTCCTACCAATGGTCAACCGCGCTCCGGACTGCAGCCACCCTAACCCTGCTGGGGACTGCAGCCACCCTAACCCTGCTGGGGACTGCAGCCACCCTAACCCTGCTGGGGACTGCAGCCACCCTAACCCTGCTGGGGACTGCAGCCACCCTAACCCTGCTGGGGACTGCAGCCACCCTAACCCTGCTGGGGACTGCAGCCACCCTAACCCTGCTGGGGACTGCAGCCACCCTAACCCTGCTGGGGCCAAAAAGGTGCAGTTTAATCACCTACCACCTTGCAGGAATCTAAGTGGAGTTTTCACGGTCCAAAACACCTGAAATGCTTCCCAACATGGTCTACCATTCCCCCAGACAGGATTTAAGGATTGCCTAAAACACATACTCTCAGGGACTCCTTAATGTTCGAAGCTAAGCAAAAAACATGGATTGTAAATCATCTCCCACACCCATATAAAATCTCCAAATTCTCACTGTAATAACTTGCCTTTTTAATCAATGCCTGCAGATACTTTAAAATATGCAAATATTAGGAAAATTAACCTTACTTTCTAAAGTTCAAATTCGGAGCAGCCCATAATCTTTCATCAACCTAGAAAATAGCTGATAAGCCAATCTTCCTGCAAAACCATTACCAGATTCTGCTTTTCTGTCACCAGGGTAATTTACTGAGGCTAATTTTAATCCTGCCACTAAACCACTAATCCCGTGACTCCACAGAACTGTCCTCAAGTTTACGTTGCTACGGCAAGTACTTTTACATTAGGAATTCACGTATTTATTAATAGCAAGTGTTTTAGTTTTTAAGTTGGTTCTAGGAATGAGATCATCTTGCTTGCCTCTTATTTTAAAAAGTAAAAAGCCATTTTTGAAAAAAGCCACTTGAACACCTGGGGTGGCACTGCACTCAACACAATAACGTTAATTTAAATTATGCTTGGTGTTACTCAAAGGAACAAATTATCATCATTATGCTAATGGTCATGCTAAAGACATGAAAAGCTTTGAAATGATTAATCTAAATCTGGTGGGAATATGATTATCAATGTGAATGATGATATTTTCTCAAACTGGCATAAAAATGTTTTGTCTGTGTCACTGATAATGCCAATATAAATTATGCATCACCAAAGGCAACGCGCACTGACATGCTCCTCGCTAAGGTTCTCGGCGCAAAGCCCCAGCCCACCTTTCAGCCCACAGATGCCTTGCTTAGGGGACATACACGTGGATGACTGGAAATGTGTTTACTTCTTTCCTTAAAATAGAGACAACAGCATGATTAACGCTAACAAGACTGAGACGACAAGAGAGAGGTGTCTGGAGATGCACTTGCTATTATGTTAAAAACGGAGGCGGAATCTTCCCTGGCATTCCATATTAATAAGCTCCTGCAACACAGCGTAAGAGCCACCCTGTGAGTTCAACACGGGTGTATCCAGAAGCCCAAACCGGCATGTGTAAACAAACAGCCTCAAGTGGAAACCTCACAGCTCTGCCTGGAGATAACTCCAGGCCAGGCCACAGAAGTTCAGTGGAGCTCTGAAACAGGATTGCCCATTTGTTCATCAATTCATGTCTTTAAAAAGGGAATGGGTACAAAAGCTAAGTCTTTAAGACAAAAATCATACTTTTTCCTCGAGGTTAAAATCACCAGAATAATTAGAACTAAACAGTGAATCTTCTCCTTCTGACCCACCCAGCCCTTAGCCTCACTGCAACCAGTCTTCACTACTCATGTTCAACTCTATGTTTTCCTGAATTAACACAGTCATTTAGCACTGAATGGCAGACTAGTTCTCACAAAAATTATGTCTGGGGGAGAAAAGTGAAACTTGTTCAGGACACCCTTAAGCAGCAACTGAATAAGAATCTGCTAAAGCCACACACAACCTCTCTGTGCAGCTTTCAATGCATCATTGACTGTCCTAAATTTCAAAGAACATTCTCCAATGCCGAAATAAATCAACGCCCAGGATCAGCGTCTCCTCAGCTCATGCAATATAGGTTAAATAGTACCATATGGCAAAGACAGACACATGTTGCCCTTTTCTGAAACAAAGAAAATAATTTCTAAACAAATGGTCCTTTACTTTCACATGGGAAGAGCGGGGGATTTGACAGTTCTTCAAGGGTTAACAGTGCTAAAAAATGTTTAATTCTCAGCCATTAACAAGAAATTAGAGTTTTAATAGAGAGCTTTGATTTTTAAGTCTTTATGTCCTGAAAACTAACACCACATCTTCCTCTACACACAGCATCTCCTAAAAAAGCAAGAAAATAACAGGACAGCTGTATCCCAGAGGCTCGGCACCAGCAACTCCCCAGGGCAGTGGGAAACACTGTCTACCTGGTTTTGAAACAAAAACACCAGATTCCCTCTGCCTGAAAATAACAAGACACACTCGCCTCTCATCCCATTTTCACCAATCAGTTGAGGAACTGTCTGGATTTCACCATTGCAGAGTGTGTATCTCTTCTTGGCCCAGTACATTTCCTAGAGACTTTATTCACTTCCTGACCAAGGTGGTAGGAGGGTGGACACAGGAATACAAAGTAAGTCTACCAGAATTAACAGAGCTAAAATACGGTAAAACGTATCTAAACCTACTGTAGTTGCTTTTGAACTAGTTTTTTTCTACTCTCCTGCTTGTGTTTTAGTCATTACTTAACATATATTTACATGTTTGCTTTCTAAAAATAGCTCCCTTTCTAATTACTCCTGCTTTGTAATTTTCAGGACCATGTGAATTAAAGATTAAATGCCAGATCTTTTTTGGAAATGCCTTTTAAGGCATGTTGAGAGCCACAAATCACACTTCTTTACAATTCGAATGTATATGGAAAACATCTCATGCTAGACATAAATACGATATGGCTCTAGCTTTGGAAAAAGAAGCTTCAGCTGTTCAAGTCACGTGTGGCCAGATGCAGAGCGCAAGGAATGCAGAGCAGACGGTTGCAACTGCTGGCTTTTACCCGTCCATCTAAAATACCCTCCACACGCTTTAGTGGACACTGGAAATGGCAAACAGAAACGATGCACTGATAGCCCCTATGAATGCATCTTTCCTTACAGCTTTTGAAATCATTCCCCTAAAATATTCTTCACTGTTAGAAAATTAATTCTAAAATAAAGATGCTTTTTACAGAACAGAAGGAGATATTCTAAAGTCATAGTTTTTCTTTATTCCTCTTCCTCCCATAAGATTAATTTTATTAATTATTCATAAATGTAAACATTTGATGTGATTCTTTTCTTCAAATGGGTTTGTGACTTTTCAGAATTCCTGAAATGTTAAGATTTCAACAGTTCTTGTCCAATGGTGGGTGGGAGGGCAGTCTTCACTGAGGGCAGAGGTCACGCCTCCATCAAAGAGAATGTCCTGCACTCCCAAACTCACTGGGGCCAGAGAGAACTAAGGCCAGGACTTGAATCTGAAAAATGCTCTCTCCCCTATGGCCCCTAGATACATTCAAACCGATAATAGGCTGCTGCCACTACACTTTTGGCCAGTCAGGTGGAAAGACTGGGGATGAGAGCCCCCAGGAGGGGAGGGTGAAGGGAGCGGTTACACTGCTGGCCCATGCCACCACTTAGCATCCAGCCCGAAGGGAACCTAACCAAACAGCCGAACCACCAGATAATCGCTGTTGCACAAACAGAGACTTGTGCCCCCACCTCCATCTGCCTCCGAGAACCTCCATATCCACCCCCCACCACACCCCGTGCCTCTCACACACAGGGAGAGGAATTCCAACCATCACCCACTCAAGACCTCACAAGGGATGCACAGCCTGACCCTACAATTCACTTGAAAAACGCAAATCTAAATGAGATGCAGCTCCCAACAACAGAGCATGGGCCGGTTCCAAGGCCCTGTGAGCTAAACACAGTCATAAAATCAGTCCTTCACATTTAGCCATTAACAACGCTGCAAGTGAAGCTCCAAGGTGCCAAATCACAGGCAGCCAGCAAAGGCCTTTTTGCGGGATGCTAGTTAGGCAACAAATGCAAATTCAGGGAAGTAAGGATGTGCTGAGGAAGTCAGTGCGGCACCCGTCCAGCTCCCCGAGCAGTGAACAAATCCACGGGTATTCCTTGGACTACGTTCAGTAAGACAGGCAACTGAACTTTTCCCACAGCTTCTAGAACTTTTGAGGAGGAGGGGTCAGGACAGCAAAGAGATGCATTTTTGAAAGAACTAATTGAGTGTGTCAGAATAGCTTTATCCAAGCATAAAATGTATCAACATTTACAGCATGAAAGATGTCTGCTTTTGAAGAAAAAATGTTACCTCCAAGTTCAAACATTTATAACGCAGATACCCAATCAAACCAATGTAACTTTCTTCCATTAGAGTTCTATTACTAATCATCAAATCCATGGTTGCCACTGAGAAAGTTACACATCTCCAGTTAAATTTGGCCACTTGAAAACCAAAGAGAAAGTTGATACGTGTTTCCTGAACATTTAATAGCAATGCTTTCTTCAGTTAGAAATCTAGTGATACGCAAAATACCACTTTTAGTTAGGTAATTAACACATGTCCTTTTCTCCTCAATTGAAAATGGAGTAAAAAACAAAATAATTCGGGTCTTGAACATTCAAACAAGCATATTCTACAGGAAAGTGCACACGTTTGGACAAGCTCCCTGCTGCACGATGCAGTCGGCTTGTATTTCGGCCTCCTATCTCTACAGCATTAAGGTATAATGCAGCTGAAACTCTAAACACAGTCTCCAGTCAGACTCACAGCCACTCCCACCGAATTCTTTTTGAAAGATTCCTTCTCTTCAATTATGAATAAGACCAATAAGTATTCTGGAAAACAGATAATTAAAAATCCACAACAACCCAATAAACTGAGTACTGGTTTTTCAAGAATAATCCATGACTACACTCTAAGTAAATTGCTAGGTCACATTATCATTTTTCCCCATTTGGCAAGACTGAAAACCATCTGTTGGAGTATACCTCATTTCAAAGTATTCTTTAAAGAAGTCTCCTTTCCTTTTTCACGTATGTTGCTAAACTTAATCACATCAAATGCTTCACTTATAAAACTCAAATATCTCCTTGTAGGAGGAAGTTAGGTAAATGGAGTTAAAAGTTTCATTTATGAAAGTGGAGACAAAGTGCTTTTCACATTGTGACCTGTTTTCAAAGACCTCTCTCATTCCCTTCAGTCGATTTTGGTCTCTGGGACAACATCTTACAAAAAAAAAAAAAGTTAGAAATATAGGCCTTCAAGGTTCCAGGAAAAAAAATGAAATCTCTAAATGAGTCGACTCTGAAGCTTGTTTACAAATAACAGTGGGAAAACACTGGTGAGGTAATCTATTCTCAGGATGGCAACAATTAATAGCAGACACATCTCTCAAGGTTAAAATTCCTGACCTAGTATATTTCAGGAAATTAAGCCATTTGGAAAGATTATTCTAATAAAAGCTTTCAGAAATAAAAATAAGCAGAACTCCCATCTCTCTGCATTGTCGAAAGCTGTACCTACTAAACCTGCTATTTTGGTGTTGTGTTTCATTTCAGAAAGGTATTTCTATCCCTCTTGGTTAGTTCTATTACAGATCCACTGGGATTATTTTTTTTTAGAAGGTTAATGTGCTCTGATTGTTTCAGTATATTCAAATTAGCAAGTGTAAGAAAACAAAGCCCTACTAATGAATTAAGAAACACATTAGACATGCTTGTACCTGAACACATCAGAATTCAAATTCAAGTTCCAAAATACTTGTGAGTCTTACACAGAGCTCAATTCATCCCGGAGCCCATTCAAGATGGCCATGGGGGTCACTGCATGAAACTAAAGATGTCCTCCTACAAGTAATCCAACTCTCAAACCCCTGACACCATGGCAGGCTCCGGAGCGACTTCTCGCTCCAATTTTACTAAGAGGGGGTAAGGGGTTCTCAGATGCAGCACAATAGTGCTATGTGGAATATTTAATTCTAGCTGATCTGTGTAAATATAAATAACACTTACTTGACGACATGATCAAAGAACGCAAGTGAAAATGAAGCTGGAACAAACGATAAAATGAGCTCCTTTTATTTGCCACGGTAGTAGCTGATCAAATAGCATGCATGCCTAGCTCTTTAAAGTAACACATCCCTAGCCCAAAATACTTCAATCATATTAATAGGGTGTTTTTAAAAATAAGCTGAGAAAGCTTCTTTCGAGAGGCTAGCCACCCTTGCATCTCCTGCGGTCATTACCTTAATAGTATTTACTCTACAGCCACATGGTGAACATATATCCCTCAGCTTTCAAATCACCTTCAATCACGATTTGAGGCTGCATGGCAGGTGGACAGGGAAATGCCTTTCTGCTGTATGTGTAAGTAGGATTCCCCACTAAAGTTCCTTTTGTGACTTGCTGGTTAAGTCAGCACAGCGAGTGGACGGGAGAGTCCGAGGGCTCCGTCCTTTGTTACGCCGGGGACACCCCTGGAAGGCAAGCCCAAGGCCCAGGGGCACATCTGGCCTTCCGAAAAGCAGTCCACAGAGCCATCCCGGCCTCTTTACCGCCGAGACACTGTGAGGTCACACAGGCAGGACACAAAACCCACACGCAGCAACCCCCGCAAGGCGCCCCGAGCCCGGGTGCCCACCGCCAACTGCCACCCCAAATCCGCTCGCGGGCGCAGGACCTGTTCAGGTGTGAACACTTATGTAATCGTCCTCGGGGCCACGCCTTTCCCACCGCCCCACCTCCGCCAGAACAAAGTGAAGTTTAAAATAGAAACCAATTACCTGGCCTCCGCCGCGCCTCGGCCCCGGGAGCCCGGTCCACGCCGCCGCGCAGGCCCCCCGCCCGGCCCGGCCCGGCCCGGAGCCCCGCGCAGACCCCAGTTCCGGGCCGGCCCCGCCCCCCTCCCCGGCCCTGGCCCCAGCCCTCCACAACCCCATCCGCTGGCTCCCCCACCCCGCGGCCTGCCCTTCCCCCCGCAGCCCCCCTCTCCTCCTCCTCCGGGGCCTGCTCCCGCCCCCGCCGGCTCCCACCGCCCGCCCCGCTCGCCCCCGCCCCCCGACCCGCACAGACCCCCGCCTTTGTTGTGGTGCGAAGTTGGGCTGTGGGTCCCCGTCTCTTTCACTTCTTGGGTTACAGTGAAGGCGTGTGACGTCCACTCCACATGACGGGGGCGGGGGGCGGGGGGCGGGCGCCGGGGGGCGGGGGCGGCGGGCCAGGCCCTCCCCGCGCTTCTCCGCCCCTTCCCGCCCCGCCCACAGCCCTCCTCCTGGCAGCCCAGCAACAAGCGGCCACCGCCCCCACCCCGGGGCGGGCAGGTGAGTCCCCCCGCCCCCGGCCCGCCCCCGGCCCGCCCCCAGCCCACAGGGCCGCCCCGCGCTCCCGCCTCCGGCCACTGGCCACGCGCACCCCAGGCCCCCCAGTGGCGCCCCAAGCCCAGCGTCGCTGCAGCTCAGACACACCGAAATAGGAATGATTTAATCCAACGACACCTCCTGGGGCTGCCCAGTCCCGGTTCCGCCAGCCCCTGAGCCTGGGGAGGGGCAGAATCGGGTGGAACTCGGGTCGGGGGGCGGAAATGGCCCGAGTGGGAGGGAAGGCGCGGGGTCGGACACTACCTTGTAACCAACTTTGGTACTTGCAGAAGGGAAGGACGAAGGTCGCCCACGGACCCTCGGGTGACCTCCGTGCGGCCTGGTGACCCGGCACACCCGCGCGTGGACGAGGTCCCTCCCAGGGGTCTCCTTGCAGGGGTCTCCGGGGTGGGAGTGGGCACGTGGGTCCTTAACCCCTCCATTGCATCATTCCCATCCCGGTGGGTAGACAGGCACAGCCACCCCGTGGTGCTCCCGGAAGACACCGCGTCTCCAACGTTTACGCAGAGATGCTGCTCGGCTCAGGTCGGGTCCGTACGCTTCCCGAGGTGCGTACTACGCGAGCCACACATATCACTCCCGATATTCCTGGGAAAGTCGGTGCCACAGTCAGTCAGCTGCAAGCGTGGGGTTGCCGGTGACGCGCTCTGCCCGTGAAGACGCCCATTGTGCGGGACAGGCGCGGCCAGGGCGCAGCGTCCAGGAGGTGGGTAGGCAGCCGAACTTGCACTGGCCACGAGCGCTTCACCTTCTAGAATCTGCCAGGGACCAAGCATCAACTCCCAGGGAGAAAATAAAATGTGAAGTTGGAAGACACACGCTGCCCTTCACTTTTCTGAGGAGTTCACATCGGTTTCCGCATTCCGCGTTCTCAGTTCGCTTTGCCCCGGCTAGTGGGCTCCATCGCCTGGACCGCAAACGCACCAGGGCGTGCCCGCCGGGGGCGAGGCCAAAGAAACCGCACGTTTCGAGTCCCCAGTTGCTGAGAAACAATCACAGCGCTCCTCTTTTCTTCCCCTGCCGTTGCAGGTTCCGACCTGAATCCGAAAGTGCTTCTAAATCCCATGCTCCACAGGAGGTTCGGAGGGGGAGGCGCTCGGGGGGGACTGCTGCGTGCCCATGTAGCCGAACCGACTCGAATAAAAGCGTGTCTACGTCTACATCACACATCTGTGCAAATGCAGAAGCCTGCGGATGCTCGGGGCTGGCCAGACTTCAATGTGCAGACACATGGGCTCATGCACGCGCGCGCGCTCACACACACTCACACCCCAAATTACCTCCGGGATGGAGAAAGCCGCAGCGGATTGGCCAGCAGAACCGTCACTCACGCCCAGGGGGCAGGGACACTTCGCAAAGCTGTTTCCTTTTTTTTTTTTTTTTTTTTTTTTCTTCTCCTCTCCTCCCTACCGTTTCATTTAATGGTAAAACAACAGCAGAGCTCTGAAAGTTAGCCATCTGCGCGGAGTTTGCCTTCTTTAAGGAAGGAGGCGTCAGACGATATCCATTTAAATGTATTTTGTACTTCCACAAAGGATGGAAAGGGAAATTAACGATGGGAGTGGAGGCGGAAAGGGAGCTCCGAATAAGAAGGAGGGGTCATCCCGCGGGGGGAGGGGGGGCCGGGGGCGGACGCAAGGGAAAGAGTTCTTCTCTACACAGAAGAGGGACTTTGACCTTCCATTGATCTCGAAATTAAAAAATGTTTTTCACAGGTCAGATTGTAACCAAAACTCGTTCATAATTTATGAACTCGTCGTTTTGATTTTATTATTTAAGCATGCGCCAGCAGTCGTGTTTCCTTAAGAAAGAACTGACCTATTTTTGGCTGGAGATAAACGATCATGTTAACAGATGTTAATCTTGTAATCTGTTTTTCCTGTAAGCACTTTACCTACCCGGGTTTCAGACATCTTTTCCAAAAAGACCTGACGTCACAATTGACTCCCTGAAAAATCACACTCCCCCTCCAGTTTCTTCCCCTGCAATGATTTCAAAGACGTTAAATCTTTTCCACTTTATAAATGCTGATCTGTTCTGCCTCTACTCCCACAGGCTTTTATTTGCATTTTAAATTCCACAGGTTACACCAGTCGCCTTTTCAAAAAATATAAACCAACAATGAAGCAGCAAATGGCTTTTTGTGCATCTGGATTAAATAAAACACAGAATGAATATATTTAAAAAGAAGGCTGCGCAAGTTGATCTTTGCACACCCGGAGACCCAGTGACTCTTTATCAGCGGAATGAGTAAGACACACACACAGCCCCCAGAGCTCCCGGTCTGATCCTGGGCTGCTGCGGGAGGCTTATTAACGCTGATAATGGATGGGGCTGACTTACAGACCCACATTTTTCGGGTAAAAGGCTGGTTCCTAATTGCGGGGTCCACTGGCTTTCCTCGGCGCACACCAACCTTCCTCCATCAACTGCTGCTTTTAAAAACCCCACTCGGCTGCCGGGTAACAAACTTATTCATACAAACTTTCTTTAAAACTTGACGAGGCGGTTTAATCTAAATACTGATCGTAACTATCCAGTCTGTTAGTTCTCCCTGGAAATGGCAGCGGAGGCGCCTCCCCCACCTCCCGCCCAACCACACACACCCCACCGAATTCTTCCTTCATACACCCGGGTTCATCTCCCCACCGAGGCCTCCCCCACCCGCACCCGGCGGGGCGCAGCTCCGAGGAGTCCCTGCCCACCCCTCTCAGAGTCCGTGCCAGACCCTCGCCCCCACCCCCACCCCCGCCCGAACTTCCCTTCCAGGACCTCTCACTTCTTGAACATTAGGGTCACTTAGAAGCTCCCACCACATTGGCAAGCAGCCGGGGAGGGGGCTGCGAAAAACAAGCCCCCCCCCCCCCGCCCCGGCAAACGCGTCCCCTAGGCAGCAGCGCTCGGTGCCCACAGGCATCGATCCCATCCGCCAAACCCTTAATAATTGAAGCGGCTCCTCAGGCCCGCAGCCCCATCACCCACCTTCATTAGCCGGAGCGTTTTACTTTAAAGTAAGGCAATTTGCTCTTTGTCTCCTAATGGATGGAGAGCGCGTCCGAGCTCCCCTCCTCCCGCGTCGCCTTCGACCAAGTGTACAAAGCCAGAGCCTCTTCCGCGCTCCCACCCCGGCCCCCACCCCGCCCCTCCACTGCGGTAAAAACCACCTCCCGGGCGCTCGCCCCGCCGCCCGAAGTTGCATCTTCTCCTATCCTGGAATTGCAGAGCAGAGCAACTACCCACAGGGAAAGCCAAGGAGCCCTCCCCGCGCCCGGGGGACCCTCCCCGGCGCCTCTCCCCCCGTCGCCTCTCCCCCCCCGCCCCCAGCGGCGCACACGGGAATCCCAGGCACGTCGAGGCTCCGGGCCCCGCGCCCACCGCCCGCCCGCGGCCCCTGCGGCGCAGCTCTCCCCCCGCCCGCGGCCCCTACCTTGGCGGGGTGGCGGCGTGCCTGGGGAGCAGGACGCGCACGCCCCGCGCATCTGAAGGTGAAGCCGAGCGCCCGCGGCGCGGAGCCGAGCGCTGCACTAGACCGACCGCGCCAGCTGCGCCCGGGCGCGGGGGACGCGCGAGGGCGCGCGGGGCCCTCCACGCGCCCGGCCCCCTCCCCGCGCCGCCCGCGCGCGTCCCGGACGCGCCGGCCCCGCGGGGGCCCCGGCGCCGGCCGGGCTCGGGGGGCTGCGCGGCACGGGGAGGGGGCCGGGCGCCCGCGGCCCGGCGCAGGCCCGAGGCTTCCCCCAGCCCGGGAATGGTCTGCCCTGTAGGAAACGCACACTCCACTATTGTCTCATCAGCACAAAGTTCTGCCACACTGCGGGGACAGTCTGGAGGCTCGCAGTGACTCAGACACAGCTGGTTCCTCCCCTAATAGCACCGAACCGCGATCGCAGCAGCCGGTGGTCACCCCCAGTCAAGGTCTAAGGCTGCGGCAGCTCCGGCTCCCGGAGGCCGTTTCCGCGCGCACACGCGCATCCATACGTGCAGACGTACTCGGGATGCGGGTCCCGCCGGCGGGCACCTGGGCACTGCGCCCCACCGGGACGGAGACCGGGACACCCTTTCGGGGGTCCCAGGTGCGTGTGCATGACACACGGCGTGGCGTGTGCATTTCACTCAACTTCCTGGTAGACGCCTCTGGGGGTGTTCAGATGCAGGATCAATACATTAAGTCCTGAATCCAGGGTCACAGAGGTCCTGCAGGAAGGACTTCCAACAGCGGCTCTGCCACATGGTCATTTAAAAATGAAGGGGCTGTTTACTGGCAGCCGAAAGTTCAACTCTTATTTTTCTGTTCTTAAAACTTCATTTCTTCACCTCACCTCCTCCCCACTGGCAGTAGTTAGTTGTCGCAAGTTGGGTCTGGGACTAGAAATCCTAATGTGACTCCAAATGCTCTCCCGGTACAGGGCGGGGGAGGGGAGGGAGGGTGCTCGGGCGCGGGGGGGAGGGGAGGGAACCGGAGGGGCGGGTCGCAGCGCGCAAGGGCGAGCGCCCCTTCACCGCCGGTGACGTAGACCCGGGGAGCTGCGGCCTGCCCTGCGGAGGGTAACACTATCTTCTCCCACCAGGCTCCTGGCCATATTGTTCTCCTTCTCCTCGTGATAACTCCGCAGTGGAGGTGGATTCCGTCCAAGACGCCCAACGTGGCTCCGCTCGGCAATCAGCGCTGCAATCCCGGCGGTTACCTCCGCGGCGGCGTCTCCCTCTGGGCCCTACACCCGCCGCCCTGGCAGCCCGCGGCCCTCCCCAACTTAGGGCGTTTACAAAAGAAACTACTTCGGACGCGCTGCAAAGGGAGGCGCTTGTGCCCGAAAGCTGGCGATCAGACGCGGGGCCATTCTGCACGTGTGATGTTTCTGTGTGTGTGTGTGTGTGTGTGTGTGTGTGTGTGTGTGTGTGTGTCGGGGTCGGGGGGAGGAGTCAGGCGAAAGACAGGCGAGAACCTCTGCGAGGAAGGATCCTCGAGTCCTAAAATGTAAGCTCCGGGTGACTGACGACCTGCGCTGATTCGGAGAGCAGGCGTGTTAAAGGTCACGGACAATTGTTGCTGGCTTCAGCATGAATGCCGAAGTGGGATGTATTCTTGAACAATCACATTTAAGCCTGAGTCACCGAAAAGTATTGACGTGCCCACCATTCATTTCAGTTCACTGTGAAAAAGCGCGGAGTATCTCCAAATTCAATTAATTACATAGGCGTAAGTGGCTTGATACACATATTATTATGTCTGTGTAGGTAACAACAAAGATTACAGTTTGAAGGCTTGACACTTTAATAGCGTTTTGGTAGGATTTTGGAATGGATGTGAGTCAGTGCTATAAACCTACATTCATCTGCATTCTTGGGTCTATTTAAAAGTACAATCTCGCACTAATTATTTCCATGTGTTGAAAATGGACAAGGTAGATCATTGAACGGTGAGCAAGACTTCCAAACCTCTCACATAAAACTGTAAAATGTTCATGACTTGCCTCCTTTCTCTAGCCGGCTTAGGGCCCTGTCTAAAGTCCCACATGTGATTTCACTCAGGGCATTGTCTGTCTACAATAATATTGTGCTTTTAAACGATTTCCTTTCTTACACATTTCTCTACAATGCATGCGAAATCTGAGAACGTAATCTGATGGGTGTGCAGGAGTTAAGTCCTGGTGTCTGGTGTGGCAGGCCTAGAAAATGGCAGCTGGAGGGCCTGCTTCATTTCGTTACTGACGATCGAAACGTGTTCACATTGATTGCACACTAGTCACTGGCGGTTGTCCATGTGTCAATGCGCTATTCCTCCACACACAAAAAAAAGCATAACAATCAAATGTTTAATACAAGTTTCCATACTGTTCCTGTAACCACATTTAGCACTGCCAACATTTCAACTGTTTTAATAGCTTCAAACACTTAAAGTAACCATTAGGGATTAAGGACACTGGTTGTATACATAATATAAACCCCTGGAATGGCCCAGGAGAGCTTCTCCTATTTTGAAATGTTTAGGTAAATTATAATATTTGGATGGAGCAAAGTCAGCAGTATGAATGGTTGAATGTTAATGGTTGATTTGGGCTACTTGTTTTCTTTTAGTGATATGTGATATTTTACACAAGTAGGGGGTATGTGTATTTGTTACTTACAAGCACAGAGTGTGTCATGATCAAGTCGGGGCACTCAGGGTACTCATCCCCTGGGGTATTTATTGTTTCTATGCCTTGGGAACATTTCAAGTCCTCTCTTGTAGCTACTTTGAAATACACAATACACTGTTATCAACTAGTCGCTCTAATCTGCTATCAAATATTAGAACTTATCCCTTCTAACTGGGTGTTTGTACCCATTCAGTTACATCTCCTCATTTCCCCTCCCACCCTCTATTTATAACTTTATAACAGGCAATAATTTTGGTTAACGAAGTAAATGGGGGAAAACATTTTCCCTTGCTATTATCTAATGAATCATTTGGGAGTCCACTCCTTTCAACGTTTGATGAAATGGTGTTCAATGGTTATGGAATGACTGAGGACATTTAGATTAGAAAGATTCTTGAGGACTTCCATTAAAAAAAATAGTTCAGAATAAAAACCAAAAAGAACTCCTGCCGCCCCCCGCCTTCCCCCGCCAAAAAATAGGCCTTGAGTGCCTGAAAGCTGGAAGTGAAACTCTCTGTACTATATCATAAAATCTAAGACAAACTAAAACCTGTGTATTAAATATTCATGCTCCAAAATGTAAGTGCTTTGATTGGACAGTTGGGTGTGCCACTCAGTAAATAATATTAATCCTATTTGTGTAAATGTATTAGGATTTTCTAAATTATATCTGAGAAAGAATTATATTATGCAACTAAGTTAAGGAGTAATCTTTTGTTTTCTGAACCAACTTAAATTTAGAGATTTCAGAGTAGATTAGGGATAAATTTGCTTTAAATTATCAATAAGTGTTCCTACGTAAAGACTTTTAGGAGGAGTAGAGCTGTTCGCTGCCTTTGTACTGTTTCGAATAGGTAACTATTTGGTGTATAAATGGAAATTGACTATTTAATCACTGATAGTTTCAAAAATATTACACTAATCCTAATGTGTTGGAGATTCTTTTTCCCTAAAATCTTTTCTTTTCATGGAACTAAACAATTCAGAGACTATACTGCATTTGAATATGGAGGAAGAAACAGCCTGTGAGCAAGGATGTATCAATATGAAATTTAACACAGGATAATCCCCTTTGTGGATGGTGTGGCAAAATTACGATTATTTTTTAAATCGAGTCTTTTATGAAGTGGTTTCAGACTGCTTGAATCTAAACTTACCTAACAGAATATTTTTAATCTTAATTTAGGAAACTGTCTCAGTTCTCATACACATTTCTTACAAACACACACGCACACACACACACACACGCACACAAAAGAAATCACCTCGAATGGGCTCTTCACCCAGAGTCTCCCATGTTTGCCCTGAGAGAGCTTCTTACCGAGCTTTCTCTTGTGGGGTCTTTTATTTACAGGATAACTGGAGGTGAAACTGACGGTGGCTTAGGTTTCATCATGCTTGAGACTTGCACATTGCTTGAAATACTTTTGTGAAAATGTCTTCCTCTCTCTTCTGTATTCAAGTCTAAGATGCCTTCAACATGCAGTTGTGCCTGAATTTTTAGTTTGCTGAATAATTTGGAATGCATCGCCTCAAGATTGGGTGCAAAATGGACCCATATGTGTGGGACAGAGAACGCTTTACTCATTTTCACAGTGGCAGAAATCTTAAGAACTTTCCCACGGAACCAGCATTGTTAACAATCTGTCCTTGTTTTCCACACAGAAAAAAAAAAAAAAAAAAAATGCTTGCTGACCCATACACTATTGTTATTGCAACACAGATTTTTCTCTTACTGATTTTTGTGCGTATATTTTGAATAACACTAAAGATGACATTAAGAAATAACAAACCTGGATCACAGAGTAAGGCTCTTTCTGCAACGGAGGCGAAAGCTTTGTGGAAAATGTACTACCCATTAGAGCAACCGCAGTCACATTTTCTCACCGTTTGCAGTTTTTGGTAACTCCATCAGGACTTCACAGCAGGTAGACGACCCTCAAATCTGTTCTTGATTTCGACTTCAGTAGAAGACTCTCAGCAACAGCTGGCTTCACAATCGCTGATACAGAATTCCACAGATGAATGGTTTGAAGAATAAAAGGAACTAGGCCACAGAGCAGAATTCGTTTAAGAAAAGACAAATTCAATAAAGATTCCTCTTTTGAAAGATTGCCGACGTGAGGGAAGAGAGGGCCTTGTTTTTCTTATTACCTTTTCTTATAATCCTACAACAGTATGTTAATTACTTAACAGATAGGTTGTGACCTGTTAACACCACACATTCTTACAACAGCAAAACCATTGACTTTCTCTGCCCCCAAAGCTCATTATGGCTCACCATGCATAACTGATCACATGTGCATGTTTATGCACACTTTCCTGACGGAACTGAAAATGAAATAAGGGAAATAGCAACGTCTCCTTCACTGTGGGGAGGATAGGTACACTTATAATGAAACTGAGCATGAAGACCTTCGCGTGAGATCTCTTTGACACATACATGATACAGTTTGAAGGAAAGCCGACTTGGCATTGAGGTGGTTCGCTGGTGTAAGAAACAGAACCGTAAGAAAAGAGGTGGTCAGCCTATGAATCAGTCGTCACAATTAAGGAATAAAGACGTTTTGCTGAGGGACAGGCCAGCCACAGTTTTGGAGGGGGGACTTTTTAATGCACGTACAATGAAATGTTGTAGCCATTTTTAAGTGTACAATTCAGTGGTGTCAGGCACATTCACAATGTCGTACAGCGGTCTCCACTCTCCATCTCCACAGCTTTCCATCATTCCAAATAGAAACTCAGTCCCTCTAAACAACACCTCCTCATTCTTCCTCCCCCAGGGCCTGGCTTCCACCACTCTGCTTTCTGTCTCTACGAATCTGCCTACTCCAGGAGCCTCGTACAAGTAGAATTATACAGTATTTGTCCTTTTGCAATTGGCTTAGCAGAGTTTCACTTAGTATAATGTCCTCAAGCTCATCCATGTTGTAGCATGTAGCTCGGTACAGTTCTGCCTATCTTAAAGACACATAGATTGTAAATGCAGGAGAGAACTTTTAGAAGAAACTGCTTAATGCAGTGACTATAATTTCATCAAAAAGCATTCTCAAGAATTTTTCATCCAGGCATGGTGGCTCACGCCTGTAATACCAGCACCCTGGGAGGCTAAAGCAGGCAGATCACCTGAGGTCAGGAGCTCGAGATCAGCCTGGTCAACACGGTGAAACCCTGTCTCTACTAAAAATACAAAAATTAGCCAGGCGTGGTGGTGGGCACCTCTAATCCCAGCTACTTGGGAGGCTGAGACGAAGGAATCGCTTGAACCCGGGAGGCAGAGATTGCAATGAGCGGAGATCGTGCCACTGCACTCCAGCCTGGGAGACAAAGAGTGAAACTCCATCTCAAAATAAAAAAAAAGAACTTTTTTTTCTGTTACCTAAAATGATTGATTTCCTCATTTGGCTGTCTTTGTCTTTGCTCACCTTGTAAGCTTCAAAAGAAATCTGACAGAAAGCCTTACCTCCCTCCCGAATGGAAACTATAATGACAGGAAGCCACCCTATGGCCGAATTTGTGTTAAATTCTTTCTGGTTAGTATTTACAGAGCCTATTTACGACTTATAAGCAGATGACTAAAAAAAAAGAAAGAAAGAAAGGAGGAAAGATGTAACAGTAAGGCATACTTAAAATCAGAAAATTAAAATTACAATCAATACAAAGCAACAGAGAGGTTGCAACATCAGGCGCTTGAGATGGGTTGGTCATGCGGCCACGCACTAAGGCACCCCAAGCTTCCTGGCCCCAAGGAAGAACCGTTGGTTAAGAGAACTGATCTTTCCGGGTACTGAGCTAGGACACAGGCGTGGGTCTCGGTCATGACTGAAGCATTCCATTTCAGAACAGACAGAGGTGTTTTGGAGGGCCCCATACAGATGTTAAACCAATGGCATTACATTAAACTTGGGGCCAAAATGGAATTTTTGTAAAGAGACAAATAGTTTGATCTCGCTAATTGAGTGAGTAAATTGTATAGATTCTCAGACTTTGGTGCACTTGTGTTTTTCATGGCGGCATGACGGTAAGCGACAAGAGAAAAATGTGGGGAAGTGATACCAGACGGGGAAAACATTGTATACACTGAAAATCTAAGGAAAATTTCAGGCAGGTAGCCATCATTTTAAAAATGACAAAAGTTTAAGAAACTTCTAAATCTTCATTTTTCACCTCTGTGAAATTCCTTATTTATTCCACGTTTGCTGTGTAAGCCAGGCATTAGATCTAGTAGTGCTCATGTTAAAAAGCAGTATGTATTACATGCTTATTATGTAGGGAATCTTCCTAAGGGCTTAAATTTTGTGTCACTTAATATATCACAATAACCCAAGAAGTAGGTGCCACTGTTGTCCCATTTGGCAGATGCTAGAGGAGGGACCCAGAGTTCACAGCCCCACCCACCTCACAGAGCTGGCATGTGTCAGCCATGGGTTTAGAATCAGCCTTGACCACACGCCAATGCATACATCCACCTATGCTGAGCTGTACGTAGCCGAAACGCCAGAGCCCTGGCTGTTTTAAAGATAATTTTATAGATGGGCAGAGCCAAATATGTGTTTTCTCATGTATTTAGGAACTTGTCATGCACTGTCATATCCATGTTCTCGTTCTGCTGACTGGTCATTTGCACTTGCGTAAGCTACGCAACTTCTGGTCCTGTGTCATCAGGGGCTTTGACATTTGCCACTTATCATGGGGTGTTGTTAGTCTTCCACAAACCTAATACGTGTTACATATTTGTGCAAAAATACCTACTAACTAGCTGGTGGGGACAGAATCTCCATGAAAAATGTTTCATTTAGTTTCTCAAAGGGATTGAACTGGCTTTTAAAAATAATATACAAAATACGAAAGAATAGCATAAGCAGTGGGAGGAATGAGGTCGGGAATCATAAGAGTGGAAAAACAGAAAAATCAGGATCCATTTCAGCTCGATCAGTCTTAACACGAGAACACGTGGATATATGTCTAGTTATCCTTCGAATTGTCAGAAGTGGTAGAATTTTCCCCTGAGCTTCCGAGTATCCAAAGCAAAGAGGGAAGCACTATCTTTACAAGAGTTGTGCTGTCTGTGAAATGAGAGTGTAGCGGACTCTGTTCACAACAATATTACCAAACAGATACATTCTTGAAGTGTGCCTCCTAATGATTTGGAGACAAAAACAATCAACCCACAATCGAATGAGAATTTACAGCAATTCCTTGATCTGCAAAGTGGGAATCACACAGAGTTATCTTGAATGAGAACAATTTAAATGTGAAATCACTTAAAACTGTTTTGGAGTATACAAGTATAAGCAAATGTAAGTTATTTTCTTAATAACACAACCCGCCCCCCACCCACACATAATAACTGATGTCATCAATATTATGAAACTATATGTTAATTTAAGATGTTTTTAAATATCTGAAGGCATACAAAAGTTATCTCCAATTGTGTTGACACTCTTGAAATGGAAGTCATTTCTAGAACCATTCCTTTCTCCCACAGATTCTTAAATTGTGTTTGTTTTCATAGTGTCCTTGGTATGGTCATGCCTAGCAGAATCTGAGATTCGTGCCTCAAAGTGCAAAATGTTTACAAACTGTTTTCACCCAAGACCCAGCCAGGCTCTTCCCCTGTGACTGCACCTGCCTCTTGCTCCCAAGGTGCCCTGTCTACTCCAAGAAGGACCCCTGTAGGGCAGCGCTTGGGTTTCAACAGGCAGGCATGAGCCCAGAGGCTTCCTGGTGCAGAACTTGTCAGCATTTGCTTTTCCCTGTTAAATTCCAAAGCTGACCAGCCCCTTGCCTCTGTCAGAGGGAGGGAGGCCTCTCCACAGACTCCTGGGTGTGCAGAAACTTCTGGGGTGTGGGCTTGAAGGCATGTGAGCGAGATGCAGCATGTGCGGGACCTGGATGGGCACTCTCACTTCTTTATTTCCTATGGCTTAAGCCTCTTGGCTTCTAGAAAGCCTTTATTTAAAATAAATACAGAAAAGATGTGTTACACTGTGAGTTACAATACAATACAATCGTCCATTAAGTACCGAACTCTGTTCAAACAAAGTTCATGGATGGACTGACAAATTTACAAAAGCAAGGAAATCTCAAGAGGAGGGGCGGCCATTCACCCCGGGGTCTCCCTGGTGAGCTGGGCAGGCTGTTTGTGAAAGTGGGCCAGCAGAAAGAGCTGCGGGATGGTCGTTTTCTTCTTCGCTGGCTTCCGAGTTCTAATACCGCGGTCAATTCAGGATACTGCTGAAAGTGAAAAGGAAACACAGCCAGTTTCCTGTATGTTCCTTTATTTCCAGAAAATCAATCACCCCATCTTTACAGGGTGGGAGAAAAAAACAATATTCCACTGCCCGACGCCTCCCCTACATCTCAATTTTTTTTTTTTTTTTTTTTGAGACGGAGTCTCGCTCTTGTTACCCAGGCTGGAGTGCAATGGCGAGATCTCGGCTCACCGCAACCTCTGCCTCCTGGGTTCAGGCAATTCTCCTGCCTCAGCCTCCCGAGTAGCTGGGATTACAGGCACGCGCCACCATGCCCAGCTAATTTTTTGTATTTCTAGTAGAAACGGGGTTTCACCATGTTGACCAGGATGGTCTCGATCTCTTGACCTCGTGATCCACCCGCCTCAGCCTCCCAAAGTGCTGGGATTACAGGGGTGAGCCACCGTGCCCGGCCTCAATTTTTTTTTTAACTTGCAATTGAGCTTATCTGGTTTTTTATATTGGGCTTCACCTCAATGGAGCAGAAAAGAAATTTTTAGGCAAACTAACAATAGACTTCTATGACAAAATTCTAGGTCTTGTAGTCTTTAAGAAACCTTTTATAACACGATTTTACTAATATTTCCACTTGTAGAAAACAACTCTTTGGAGCAATACAAAAAAGTCTAATAAAAAGGCCATATTTGGCATGCATTATATAGACAACTATTAAACCACTCGTATCTTTACAATACTAGGAAATTTCCTCTTATTTTAAAACACAATAGTGTGCTCACACATACTTCTATATTAAAAACTTTGATGGCACTTTCTTGCAAATTACCAATGACAGAAAAAGAATTTCAAAAACCGAAGTCGGCTCCATAAGGACCTATAACGATATTATTTTCATTTTATATAATGTCCTTCTCTTCCACCACGAGACGTTACTGTGCAGTATTACATCACCCTTTCTTGCTGTTCAAAATTGCAAGGCAGTTAGTAATGCGAATATCCTGTTCATTTCAATACCTCTCTGCTCCTGACGAAGCTGGGCAGAGAAGGAAGCAAACGCCACTCATCCATATGAGGGGACTGGAAAAATCCTGTTTATCAAGCATGCTAAGAAAAAACGTAGAAACCAAGTAAAAGACAAATTCTGACTGCAAATGTTTAAGATACTGCACCAAAAAGTGATTTCCAAAACCTGACGTCCACATCGGGACGGAGTTATGCATCTACGCAATTGTTTCTCTCCTTCATGCATGAAGATGCGCATTTTCAAGATAACACGTCGACCACGCTGTAGATGTGACAGGTGGAAACAGTAAGTTATGCGTGATTATCTACAAGACCAAAAAAAAAAAAAACCAATAAAATGAGTGCATTAATTTTTGAAATGTCTAATATTCAGAGACCAGAGTGGTGGTGTTTGTGTGATTTTGGGTCCTCCCACCCGCTGTGCAGAATACATGACCACAATATTCCTTCTGAAATGGGAAAGGAGGGTCTGTTTTATGGAATTATAATAATCTCATGTGCTATTTTGAAGTGTTTTCTCATTTACTCTCTTAACTCTGCTCACAACAGCAAAGCAAAATGGCTCAGAATTATTCATACCATTTATAAGTGCAAAACTCACGGCAAAGTTGTTCTGTTTCTTACATGTCACAGTCAATTGGTTTTGAACGGTTTTGAGTCCATGCATGTTTTTAAAAATTACGTGTCTCAGAGTATAGTTCTTAAAAATCTATTTTCCCCCTCCATACACTGTAAGGAATTTTCCTGCAGGCTTTATGCGTTTCAACTGCTATGAGATGAAATCAAGGCAGAACAATGTCTTGAGCAATGCTGGAGAATTTCTAAATCCCCTGATATACTGGACACCGAGAAATTTTAATAAGAATGATGATGCTCTAGCCAAGATTTTCTTGTGAAACGTATCAGTGATAAACTGCAAATCTGTGAGAATTCCTGGGTGGACTCAGCTTCATCGACCGCAGTCAATGGCATGCACGACTGTAACAGTCTCCAAATAACAAATCGTCTTAAACAATACTTCACAGGCTAAGGGTACACAAGGAACATTGTGGTAGCACCAGTAAAACTGCCAGTCATATAGCCTAAAGTGTTCATTTCAAAAGAGTCATGGCACTGGCATTGTCACAATGATAAAATCAGACACATAAGATGAGCGGAGAACCAGTGGGTCATTCATTCCACTAATATGAGTGTTTGCTGAATTCATCTTCCCTGAGAGGCAGGCGCGAGGCCTCAGTCTTCTTCAGTGCAGCAAGGGGCTTAGCAGGCGTCTGCATGGGTTTTGTCCTATGCCAGCGGACTTTGCCAAGCATTGGATTTTGACCGCAACCCCAAGCACAGTTCCCACAGCACTGTCCCTGTCCCTGTCCTCTTGGCTGAAATATCTACGGTGGACCCCACTGGTCATTCCTTCCACCATCCTGCATGGTGTCCACTGTGCATGGCCAATGGCTACAAGAATGTGGACTGAAGCCCCAGCCCGCAAAAGGAAAAGGCGAGATTGATCTAAACCAATGCACTTGTCCCAGCCCCGAACTCCTGGCCCCTGCCCCGCCAGCATTTGGGGTAGATAACGTCCACATGATGTAATTTTGGCAACAGGACAGCAGGGAAAGT